TCTGCACCTTCAGTCTTCATGTCCACCAAAACACTAACAAGCCGAAGGTGTCATTGCTTTGCTGCAGGGCACATGCCCTGGCTGAGTGAGGCCTGGGGCAGCCCCATCTGGGGGACAGGAGTGGGGAGGACAGGACAGGCCTGCTTATGATGTGCTGAGACCTCCAACTGTTCTGTCCCCAGGACCCTCCACCTGACCCTGCCCCAGCTGGAGCTGCGAGGAGCCTATGATCTGCAGGCCCTGCTGGCTCAGGCCAAGCTGCCCACCCTGCTGGGCGCCCAGGCAGCCTTGGGCAGGATCAGTGACAGCGGCGTCAGAGTGGGAGAGGTTGGTGCTCACTCCGGCTAGATCCACAGGGAGGGGACGGTGAATGCTGGGAGGATGTGGGTGGCTCCCGCAGGGCCGGAGGGAGAGAGCAGGGATGTGGGAGCCAGTGTTTTCTGCAGGGTCAGTGAGGGGCAGTGAAGGACAGTGAGGATCAGTAAAGGTCATTGAGGGCCAGTGAGAGACAGCAGCATCTAGCAGCTCTGCTCTGCCCCTTTGTGCATCAGGCTTTGTGTCTGGTGCTGCCCGGCCTGGCCTAGTGCTGGGTCTTCCCTACACGCATAGGGCTGGAACCAGGAGGGCGGGGGTCCTTCTCCTGATAGCACCACTGTTGGTGAGGTACTCAGCGCCAGACACTGTCCTAGCTCAGGGACAGAGAACCTGGAGGCACACCCGATGCCACTCCAGACACTGCTAGTGCCAGGGTAAGGCGTGGGTCTGCTGCGTTAATGCCGCAACTCCTGGTAGGCCAATGGGAGCCCTGCTGGGATGGCACCGATGCAGGTGGAGATGGGTGTGGGGTGCATTGGGTGGGCACTGGCGTGGGCCTGGGTGCTGGTCTTTGGCGTGTGCAGTGCACCTCCCTGGGGACAGCACAGGTGTGGATGCACAGGCATCCTGCCCCTCCTCGTGCCCTGCAAACTACGTCCCATTTTGCAGGTTCTGAACAGTGTTCTCTTCGAGCTCAAAGCCGACGAGGGAGAGCAGCCCACTGAGTCTGCCCCACAGTCAGAAATGACGGAGGCCCTGGAGGTGACCTTAAACAGCCCGTTCCTGTTCGCCATCCATGAGCGAGATTCTGGGGCGCTGCACTTCCTGGGCCGCGTGGACAATCCCCGAGCATAGCCTGAGATCTGGCAGCAAGGGGGGCGGGGCGCACATCGAGGGCTTGGGCCGGGCTGTGGAGACTGGGGCCAGCAATGTAAAGCAATGGGGTAGGCAGCCATGGTTACCACTAGCATCCTCCTGGCCTCCTGACCAGCGCTGGCTGGCGAGTGGCCGTCTCTCCTTGGTTACCAGTGGGAGAGCGAGCGGCAGGAGGCATTGGTTTGCTTGGAGTGGGGTGGGAGCTGGGAGCTGGCACTTGCACAAGCCTGCTGCTCTGCGAGGTGTGAACAGACCGACTTGTTTGTGAAGCCAGGAGGCATTCCCTTTTTAACCAAGAGCAGACATGAGGTTTTAAAATTAAAATACATGTTGTTCCCTTGCCTTGGCTCTGAGTACTTCGCCGGAGTGTGAGACTGTGCCCTTCGTGTGGTCCCACATCTCCCTCGGGTCTCTTTCGCACAATGCCCCTCACTTTTGAAAAATGGTTACAAAAGCACCAGGGTCTAAATTTACGCTTGACTGTGATATTGTGGCTGGTTATCCTTTGTGTTCTTAACAAGTGCCTTGCAAGAGGAAGCCAGAAATGGCTAAGCAACGGAAGAGACATGCGCAGTTGAGCTGCCAGATGGTACAAAGCGTCCTGAGGTTCTTGGTGGAAAACCCAGCCAAGCTGGTCACACAGGGAGGTGTGGGTGTGCTGCCCTTTTGGATGTTTCCACCGTGTGTGGGAGAGGTGGTGGTGGTGGTGGGGGCTGGGCCAGGTCTCTGGGCTTAGACCCAAAGCTTCCAGGTCTGGAGCTGGGGCACCGGCAGGCAAAGTGCTGGACAGGTGCTGGTTACTCACATACACACACAAGACAGCATGGTTCTGCCACAGCATTTGCTTAAAATGGAGCAAAGCCCTGTTTCATGAAATGGAGCCACTCTGGGAAAGGTGCAGCCTGAAAACTGTGTAATGCAGAGCCATTCTCGCAGGGTGCCACCTGCTGCCCTCACAGGCTACCCTGAGTACTCCACAGAGGCTACTAGCTAGGGCGTCCACTCTGGCCTCCCTCCCGGACCCCTCCATGGCTACCTTGCCACCCAGTGTACTCAGATCACCAACAGAGCACCCCATGGCCCCTCCCAGGCTTCTCACCCGGTCCTGGAGTGTCCATGACTTCACAGGCCGCCCTGCACGCTGGTCTCAACACTTCAGGAGCAGATCTAAGTGCTGCTGCTGCCTGCTTTAGTGAGCACTGCTGAGCAGGGGCTGGTGGGAGGGGCCAGGGAAGTGCTAGGGGCTCTGCTGGCTGCCCCTAGGACAGGGCTGGCACCATCCATGCTGGCCAGCGGGGGTGACAGGGCCCTCTGGCCCCAGCAGGTTTCTCCCTGCCAGCTTGCACCTGGGCTCACCATAGCTGGCTGCCCAGACCCGGGCCTCCCCAGTGGGCAAAGGAGCCCTCCAATGGACTCGCTCGCAGAGACACTGCTCCCAACCCACAGCACACTACAGCCAGGCTCTGCTTTGTGTCATGGCTACTGTGAAACAAGAGTCCTGCTGCCCACCAAGTGTGCCATTGGCTGGACTGGTCGGGACCCAGTGCCATGCTGCTTGGGGTCCTGCAGCTCCCCAGCTGACTTGGCAGGTGCCAAGTCTCTTAGGATAGCTGAAGCACCAGGACCAGAATGTGCCCGACTCTCCGCTCAAGTGAGGGTAGGGACCTAGGCAGGCTAGGTTCCCAGGAGCTCCCAGGCCAGTGTCTGCACAGAAAGGCTGAGGCCTGGGAGAACATGCTAACACTGGGGACTTGCTTTATTAAAAGGAGCTCAAAGCCAGCCCTGGCAGGGGCTATAGCCACAGGCAGTCAGGATCCATGTTAGTCTATGTCACCAACTAGAAGCAGTTCCTTTCCTTTTGATCATGGGTCTTGAACTCTGGATGTAGGTGCTGTCCTCAGCTCTTCAGCTCAAGGTAAGCGCTTCACCACTTGAGCCACAGTACCACTTTGGTTTTCTGGTGGTTAATTGGAGACAAGAGTCTCACGGACTTTGACTTTCTTGCTGGGCTTTGAACCGTGATCCTCAGATCTCAGCCTCCTGAGTAGCTGGGATTGGAGCTCACCTCAGCCTCTAAGTGTGGATGAAGGGCACGGCCACCTCATGTGCCTCAGCCGTGGCTGGATTCCTGCAACCACCGTGTGTGTGCGGGGGTGGGGGGGAGGGAGTCTGGGGGTCCTTACCAGCCACAGCACGCACCTTCCCACAGCTGGCAAACACCAGGGGAGTGTTGTGCACAAGCAGCAGAAACACTGCCAACCAGGAGCTCACCAGAGCTGTCAGATGATGGAGAGGACCCCGTGTTTCACACTGCCCCAGAGCTGTCAGATGGAGGGGACCCTGCATTCCACACTGCCCCAGAGCTGTCAGATGAAGAGGACCCTACATTCCATGCTGCCCCAGAGCTGTCAGATGAAGAGGACCCTGCATTCCACACTGCCCCAGAGCTGTCAGATGATGGAGAGGACTCCACATTCCACACTGCCCCCCAGAGCTGTCAGATGATGGAGAGGACTCCACATTCCACACTGCCCCCCAGAGCTGTCAGATGATGGAGAGGACTCCACATTCCACACTGCCCCCCAGAGCTGTCAGATGATGGAGAGGACTCCACATTCCACACTGCCCCCCAGAGCTGTTAGATGGAGAAGATCCCGCATCCCACACTGCCCCAGAGCTATCAGATGGAGAACCCCACATCCCACACTGCCCCAGAGCTGTCAGATGGAGGACCCACATCCCACACTGCCCCAGAGCTGTCAGATGGAGGACCCACATCCCACACTGCCCCAGAGCTGTCAGATGAAGAGGACCCTACATTCCACACTGCCCCCCAGAGCTGTCAGATGATGGAGAGGACTCCACATTCCACACTGCCCCCCAGAGCTGTCAGATGGAGAAGATCCCGCATCCCACACTGCCCCAGAGCTGTCAGATGGAGAACCCCACATCCCACACTGCCCCAGAGCTGTCAGATGGAGGGGTCCCTGCGTTCCACACTGTCCCCAGAGCTGTCAGATGATGGAAGGGACCCTGTGTTCCACACCGCCCCCAGAGCTGTCAGATGACGGAGAGGACCCTGTGCTCCACACTGCCCCTAGGGGCCTGCGAGCCATCTCCACTGGATTTGGTCCCTAGGACCACAGCAACTTATAAGGCGACCAGGGAAATGGGTGTGGGTACTCTGCCACAGACCCAGGAGAGGCCGGCTTGATCCCTGATGACCACCTTCCTGCAAGGAAGTGAGGAGCTGAGAACTTTCTGGAGTCTGTGTGCTGAAGTTGAAAAGTATAGTTTTACAGCAGGAAAGCACTTCATCACTTTACTCAAAAAAGTGATACTCATGAGCGACAAAAACAAATTCGGAGAGCGGTTCTGAAACTTGTTGGCAGGCCAAGAAGCAGGTGGCCGCATGGTGAGTTCCCATGAGAGGCAAGCCTGAAGGTGACCCTTGAGTCGGGGCCAGGCCTGGGGCGGAGGGGTCCGTGTTGTGGACCGCTGACTTGTCTGTGCTGGGAGCTGGGGAAGACTGGCAGGCAGCAGACTGGTTTAAACTCACTAGTGACTCAGCGACCTCCTTTGTTCCTTCTGTAGAATGGACAATGCTGAGTCGGGGGCTGTGAACTGCCCCCTCCCCTACTCTGAAGCCAGTGAGGAGGCAGAGCCGCTGGGTGCAAGGGAACCAAGCAGCCACCCGGAGGCCCTCACAGCTCTGCTTTCCTCCTGGGGCTCTGGAAGGCGCCTCGGTCGCTCTCATACAGAACTTCCACTGTCACCGAGGGGCACTGGCATGAGGGACACACCTGTGCTGAACGCACAGAAGGCACACATCTCTTTTACTTAGGAAATGCAGCTGCCTGCTGGGCTGACTCCCAGGGACGCACAGGGTCTGAAGTGCCATTCCTCTGCACTGACTGAGACAGGACGTGAGAAGGGGGCACAGCGACCTTTTGGACACAGGGGTGACACTGCTCCTTACACCGTGGCTGGGTGCCCACATGCCACGGGCACCTCTCCACCACCAGCACTTTCTTGTACTTGGATCACATTTATTTAATCCTACTGCAGAAATCAGCTCTTCCACACTGAGATTTACAATAAAAATAAAGTAATTTGTCTGTAACTATAGTAAAAAGTTTTAAATGTCTTAAAAACTACCTTCCATACAATGGAAAAAGGCTTCTGGCTCTTTCTAGGTGAAAGAAGACCCCCCGGTGCTGGGAGGGCCTCGGGCTGCGGCGGTGGATGGACGCTCTCCCGACGCTCCAGGCACTAAGGCTGCTCTCCAACTGCCTGGTCCTTGGCAGCCAGGACGAGCTCCGCGAGGGCCGGGAAGCTCTCAATGTCACCAGTTTGCAGACCCAGCTTTTGTATCTGCAAAAGCCAGGAGAATAAATGATGTTACTACAATAAAGCCAAAGTGCAAATAAAGACCCTTATTACAAACAACAGAAGGATCTTCCTACCCTCTACCAAATTAGACAGAGAGTTCTTTTATCAAACTTTATGCACCCTAAGAAATCAGTATAATTTATCCATCAAATAAGACTCTTGACAAACTCCCCTCTGTGGACTTAAAATGCTAGAAAATCCGTCAAAGAAATCTCAATGACCCATTGTGTCAGCTCTGGCTTGCGCTCTCATTTTCTCGGCTCATTAACAGCCATCTTTGGTTAGACCTGATGGGCTTTAGCAGGCCGACACAGTGTTGTGGGCGACACTGGCAAGCAGCACCTGGCACCCAGTGCCCTACTTGTTTAAATACAGCACATGTGCTGCTGCTCCAGCCCAAGGTCAGCCTGGCTGCAGAACAAATGTTCCTACTTAAAGACTTGCTCTTCACTTATGAAATAAAGGAACATGGAAACAGATGTCTGAAGGTTATATGTCTAGATTCACCCACAGCAGAGGATTGAGCATTCCAGAGATGACCCTGACAGGTAAAAGCCAGACCTCAGAAGCTAGAACCGTATCAGTAATTTTACCACACTGTTCTTTTTCTCTGCCAAAGGGTTTCCTCGAACATTTAACTGCTGCCTGGAAACCTGGCAGTCTCCCTCAGCTGGACGTTTCAGGACATGAACTCCTGGTGGATGGAGCTGCACACTGAATATGCCACATGCCCTAACTCTGAAGTCTGTTACAGAAACGCAGAAGGCTCAGAAGGGAAGCGAAGCAGCCCTGCACACCCCACCCTCCTGCTACATGTGGGGAAGCCAAGCTGCCTCCAGCACAGGACTAACCTGCCGGATGCTGAAGGGTACTCTTGGCATTCATTATGCTCGTGTCCTTCCTCCTGACCTCTAATCCTTGGTCCTCGGGGTGATCTGGGCCCTACTTGCTTCCTATAATACTTGATAAGTGGCTGCTGAGAGATGGCAGCATTATCTTGTGGCTCAAAGGAGCCATCTTGTGGCTGAGGCTTCAGGCCTCTGCCAGTACCTGTTCTCCAAGGCCCTCCATGTCCAGTACCTGCTCTCCCAGTCCTTCCACATCCAGTCCCTGCTCTCCCAGTCGCTCCACATCCAGTACCTGCTCTCCCAATACATCCACGCCTACTACCTGCTCTCCCAGTTCCTCCATGTCCACTATCTGTTCTTCCAGTCCCTCCATATCCAGTACCTGTTCTCCCAGGCCTCCACTTCCAGTACCTGTTCTCTCAGGCCTCCACGTCCACTGTTCTTCCAGTCCCTCCACATTCAGTACCTGCTCTCCCAGGCCTCCACGTCCAATATCTGCTCTCCCAGGCCTCTCATATCCAGTACCTGCTCTCCCAGTCCCTCCACGTCCAGAGCCAGCTGCAGCCGGATCTTGTCGTCATCACTCATACCACCACTGGGGCCTGCAGGGCTGGTGGCAGCAGATCTCCGAGCTTGCTTCAGCCTCTTCAGGCTCTCCTCCATCTTCTTTACGGAGTTGAGTACATCTGACACGGTCTCAAAATACCTCGGCACAAACAGTTAATAATGAAAAAGGCATTCATAACAGCAAACGACAACCACCTTTGCAAACCAAAAAGTGGCTCTTAAGACAGGGAATCCTTCTGAGGAACAGTCACCATGGTAACTTGTTAATGCTTAAGACTCCCAAGCAAGGCATCCCACAGGCAATTCAGACACAGGTATCCTGATTTTTAAAGCTGTAGCTGATTCCATGAGTAACCGATGGGCCAGTGTGTCCTTCACCACAGAATGAACCATGTCCACTCTAGGTCACTTTTGAAACCATAAAAATATCTCAGAACTTGGGGGCTAGGAAGGTGGCTCAATGGTAGAGCACTTGCCTTGCATACATGAGGCCCTGGGTTTGATTCCTCAGCACCACATAAGCAGAAAAAGCTGGAAGTGGCACTGTGGCTCAAGTGGTAGAATGCTAGCCTTGAGCTGAAGAGCTGGACAGCGCCCAGGCCCAGAGTTCATGCCCCATGACCGTCCAAAAGGATAAAAAAAAAATGTATATATACACACACACACACACACACACATATATTGCATGTATATATATATACATACGTATGTGTATATATACATATATATGTATGTATATATATACATACATATGTATGTATATATATATATACGTACACACACATACATCTCTCTCTCTCTTTATATATATATATATCTCAGAACTTAAGTAAAACCCACTGCCTTCCATAATGATCTATTTTGAAGTTACTAAATGAGTTGTGTTGTCTGCAAGCTAGTCATCTGGCATTTGTCACATGCATTTGCCCAGAAAATAATATTTATTCTCATGTTCTCAACAAATCAGTGGTACAGTGGTCACATATGAGACAGAATCACCTTTTCTTTCTGAGAGGCCAGGAGGCCACTGGGCCTCACAAATGCCAGGTGCCCTCTACCACCATGCCACCCAAGCCCTGAGTTAGAAAACTTTTTGGTGTAACTCAATGCCAACATTTGGGGAAAAGCAGATTAAGCAGACATGAAGAGATGAGGGCCAGGGGTCAAGTGTTTTTCCTCTACTCCACACAGGGGCTCCAATCGAAGCCCCCTGTGTCATCTGATGAACGGGACCACCCTGGCTAGCAGTACTGAAGAAGGACTGGGAGGGGTGGTAGAGGAGAAAGTGAACTCTGGCAACTGGTCTGCAATCTAGGTGGAGTTAGGCAGCCTGGAGTTATGAGAGGGGTGAGGGGACCGAGTCACCCCACACCACTTATTCATGAGAGAGTGCAGTGATGAGCCCACTACCATGCGCACGTGTACAGTGTGGTCGTGTTTCTCACTAGCGTGCATACGTACCAGTGTGGTGGTTTCTCACTACCGTGCACATGTGCACAGTGTATTGGTGTTTCTCACTACCGTGTACACATGCCATTGTGTGGTGTTGCTCATTACTGTGTACTCGTGCACAGAGTGGTGGTTTCTCACTACTGTGCATACGCACCACCCTGCATGTCTGGGGACCCTGTGCAGACACGTGCGTGTGAGTGGCTTACTTGTGAGTGCTTTCGCAGAGAGCCTGCTGTAACCACTGCTGCATCACTGTGGGGTGGAGCCTGTCCTTGTGTGTGCTCTGAAGCTGGTGAAGAGGCCTCAGTGCGCTGTCCACATAAGAGGAGGCTGCAGTTGGGACCTCCTAAAATGGTGATGGCAGGGATTGAAGATGCATAGAAGAAAGCTGCCAAACATCAAGCCCAACAGGACCCCACTGACACTGTAGTTCTGAGACACAGCACTCCTTCCTCTCAGAAGGCCACCAGGTCTGCAGGAGAACACCTGGGGCATGGCAGGCTGGACGTAGGAACTCCTTAGTCAACTTTGGCTCAGCTACCTAGGTGCTGCATGCGCCACGCACCACAGGCGCCTAGCCTCACCTTAGGGTCTGGTTCCGGGGGCAGGAAAGAGGGGGGCTGAGCAATGAACATGCACTTCCAAAAAGCTTCTGCCAGGTGATGTCAATGCAGCTGGTCATAAATCAGCATTTGAGAGGCCGGGACAGGGCTTCAGTTACTTCATTTGAAAATAAAAGATAGAGCACCACTTCTCAGAAGTAGGTGTGAGTGTACAACACAGTCTGAGTCCAACACAAACTCTCAATATATCCTCTATTCTAACAGCCAATGAACAGAAGGGGGAAAAACAAAATCCAGTAGCTGGCACACAATGGTCTCCCCCCGCCCCCCACCTCCTAGTTCCAAGTAGGAACTTCTAAGTTGATCACAAAGAACCAATGGGAAGAGACTTTAGAAGTGGTAACCTGACTGTCCATGTACACTGTAACATGAAAAGGGAGAAAGAGTGGAGATTACAGCTACTGTCAGTTCAGCCACAAGGACTCACCTACTATACCCACTAAGTGTAAGACAGAAGAGCAATGCAGACAGAAGTTTGGTCCCAGACCTCACGGATGAACAAAAGGTTGGTGGTATGCCATTTTCAATAGATCCTGACAATTTTTGGTAGGAAACTATTACACATTAAACTAAATCTTGAGTCTAACTCCAAGTGGGAAAATAATACTAGAGGGAGAATTATGTGAGCTCTAGTAAGTATGAAATGAGAATGAATGCATGATAATGAGTGTTCAATTGGGAAAACCAAACACTGGTAAAACTGAATTAGCTATGTCACCATTCCATGAAAGGGGCCCCAGGGAACCGCCCATGAACAGTACTCATAAGCGACACCTCCCAATCAGTTTGGGGACAGAAGTCGACTGACGCATGCTAGGCAATCACTTTCATGGAACTCTACCCCAACACTCTCAACCGTTTTTAACATAAATCTTGCTCAATAAAAAGACAGGACCAACCAAGTACTTCCAACAACCATATTAAGGGAAGAAGATAAGTATACAATATGAGCATACAATATAAAGATAAGAAAATTTTTAAAATAGGAATTGGAAACACTGTTAAAATGCCTTCTGTTGGTGAGTGTGATGGCCCACACCTGTAATCCTGATATTTGGGAAACCAAGGCAGGAGGACTGGGAGTTGGAGGCCAGCCTGAGCTACGTAGTAAGAGACTCCTGGCTAAAAATAAAATAAAATATGGTAAGATACAAAAGTAAGACATTTTCTCAGAAAAGATGCTTTCGCGTAAGGTACTTTTTCAGAAAAAAAGCATGGTGCCTCAAGGCTGAAATGAAGTCCACATTTTCTCTGTCTACTAACAGCAGTCCCTGAGCAGTGGGGGACTGGGCTCGCCCTTGTCTCTGTTGAGCATGTGCCCATGTGTACCACCCCCTCCTGCTGTCCTAGCCCCTCCTCAGCCCCAGGCTCTTCCCAGTGAACCATGCTGACCTTATTGGTCCTTCGGTAAAGCCTGGGAACCTCCTGCGCACTTTTCAGGCAGCTGAAGCAAGACTCGCTCAAGTCCTGCACTATCTTGCTGCTCACGGCTGGCACGCAGGCTGACAAGGCGCTCTGTGAGTCCTCCAGGGCCGCTGGGGAGGAAGACTGAATTTAACCACCGTCAAGGCCCCGGTACAAGCTTTAAACACTCATATGGCACTTAGAGTATACTATAATAAATCAAGTTTTTAAAATTAAACATCTAATTTCAGGAACTTAAAAAAAACAGAGTTGAATACAGAAATAATCAAAGATTTAAAACTATAGAAAATGTTAATTTAAATATATCCTATGGTCTCAAAGTATTATTTTCAATTATTTCTTATTCAAAGATTTGTTCAGTCTAAAGATTCATCTTTACCTGAGATAGAAGAAAAATTATCAAATCCAATCATTTCAAGTTTTGGCTTGATTATTTCCAAGAGTTCTGGCAGCTGAAACAACATAAACACTTTATTTATAAATTTTTTTATTTATAAATTTATTTATAAATTTTTATAAATCAAAGGAAGAGAGTTCTGTTCACATCTACAAACTCAGAATATGGTTAAAGCTGTGAAAGCAGGATCAGGACTTGCAGTGGTTTTCATGAGGGAGTGGGTGAGGCTTGATGCTTTTGCAGGGTGGAGCTGACAACTTGGAACCACATGGCTTTGCAGCTCCTCACAGGGACAAAGATAAGCAAAAATATCTTGTTTTTTGGCTCTCCATGGTACCAAAATAGAGAGACTGCATTCTCAACACACCACTGCATTGATTCAAGCCCACAAACTATTACTCTCTGGAGGCAGAATCACTTGCTGGAGGACCTGAACACTGACGTTGGCTTAATGTTGAGAGCAAAACCCTATGTGGCCTCACAGAGGAGAAGCCGCAAGTGGTTCAGAAGGAATCCAGGCAAAAAGAGTTAAAAAAAAATCAAAACCGGGCTGGGAAGGTGACTCAGTGGTAGAGTGCTTGCTTTGCACGCATGAGGCCCTGGGTAAGATTCCCCAGCACCACATAAGCAAAAAGAAAAAAAGCCGGAGTGGCGCTGTGGCTCAAGTGGTAGAACGCTAGCCTTGAGCTGAAGAGCTGAGGGACAGCGCCCAGGTCCAGAGTTCAGGCTCCACAACTGGACACCCCCCCCAAAAAAAAATCAAAACCCAGCCCCTGACAGGAATACTGTGCTCCAGCTCTCATCACTGAGGTGGGAAACAGTCTCAGGAGCACACAAAGCATTGGAGGGTACTAAGCAAGTGTAGAAGGACTGAGCTCCCCAGCTCTCATCACTAAGGGGAGAACCAGTGTCAGAAGCACACCAAGTACCAAGAGTGCTGAGCAAGCACTCACAGGATGTCTGGAAATGGCCAGCAGGGTGGGCGCAGGTTCCCCCACAACCCCAAGGCCCATGAGTTGAAATGCCACCTCCTCTGGCACACACTATTTCAGTGAAAGCGTGCCCTGTACATTGGGACTCCTCCAGTGCCAGCGTACCTGCCCCTGAAGCCTGTGTAGGTCTGCAACCACATATACGAGCTGGGTGCTAGAGATGGACCCTGGTGGCTTCGTATCTGACAGAACATTTCCTTGCTCCTCCCCAGCTCCTTGGGCATTGGAAGGATCTTTGCTGCTGATTCCTGGAGGCTTTTTGACCTCCTTGCCAATTTCATTAGAGATGGGCCTGAGAGAAAGCTGAAAAAGGATTTCAGTAATTAAATGCTCTACACTACTGAGACACAGCTTCACACAAAATGCTACTAGTGTGGAGAATGGGGCAGAAAGGTACTGATGGAAGAAGAGCAAGTTGGTCTCACAGGCAAACGTAACAAGAGGACAATGATAAATGAGCACGATGCACAGGGCACCCTTCCAGAACTCTATTTCTGGTGTTAAAAAGGACGATGCACGAAAGAAGCTGCTAGTAACTTCCTAGGCCACAGTAACATCACTAGCTGGAATAAATTAACTATATTTTGTAAATAGCTTACCAAAGTTATTGACAACTTTTGGTTATCTTTTTTTTTTTTGGTCGTGGGGCTTGAACTCTGGGCCTGGGTGCTGTCCCTCAGCTCTTCAGCTCAAGGTGAGTGCTCTACCACTTGAGCCACAGCGCTACTTCCGGTTTTCTGAGTGCTTTATTGGAGATAAGAGTTTCACGGACTTTCCTGTCCGGGCTGGCTTTGACCCTTAATCCTCAGATCTCAGCCTCCTGAGTAGCTAGGATTATAGGTGTGAGCCACCAGAGCTTGGTTTTGGTTATCTTAATAAGAGTAAAAGAATTTATATCTAGCCGGGCACTGGTGGCTCATGCCTGTAATCCTAGCTACTCAGGAGGCTTAGATATGAGGATCGCAGTTCAAAGCCAGCCCGGGCAGGAAAGACCATGAGACTCCTATCTTCAATAAACCACCAGAAAACCGGAAGTTGCACTGTAGCTCAAGTGGTAGAGAGCTAGCCTTGAGCTGAAGAGCTGAGGGACAGCGCCCAGGTCCAGAGTTCAGGCTCCACAACTGGACACCCCCCCCCAAAAAAAATCAAAACCCAGCCCCTGACAGGAATACTGTGCTCCAGCTCTCATCACTGAGGTGGGAAACAGTCTCAGGAGCACACAAAGCATTGGA